AAGCGAAAAGCACAGACTCATCCGAAGCTTAACTGGCCTCATATCTATGTACACATCAGATAGGTGAGGACACAGGTGTCCACGGCAAGCACTGCCAAGTGAATCCCACAGAAGGCATTGGCCGACAGGAGTTTCGACAGAAAGAGGCTTCCCCATTGAAGCCTCTGTCGTCAAGATACCCACCAGCCTGCCGACTCCGAGATTCAAGTGGCATTGCCCATGCCGAGAGACCTGTCTACAACCATACAGACGTGTCACTCGAGGTTGCCAAATCCTGGCGAAGGAGCGTGTAGAATCTCGTCCGGGTCGTCGTCTATGATAGGGCCGCCCGGATCGTGCGGAGCTTCTTCTGAGGGGCCTCCTTTGCCGACGTCCACCGAGGTGTCGTCGCTGCAGCCAAGCCCAAAGGGCGCCAGAGCCTGCCTGTAGGCGCGTCGCTTCCCCGACAACTTTTCCGCCAGAGAACCAGGTGGAGCATGATTCTGTGTAGGCAGTGTAGCCGGTCGTGGATCCAGGTGTGCAAAGGCACACCCCTCTGTAGTCTCTGGAGGTGTTGGATCTGGCGGCGTTGGGTAAGCATCCGAAGCCGCCGGTAGGGGAGACGAGGTGTCCATCTCCGAGCTGTCTGCATGTAGTCCCGGAGGAGTGCGTGGAGGCGCTCTTGTCCCCCTTTGCGGGGTGATGATACTTTTGGCCTCCTCTGCACGCTGCAACATCCTTGTCAGCTCGGAGCGGGTCTGGTCTTCTGTTAGACCATCCTCTACGGACATAGCCACCTCCCATTCCAAGGGCGGGGGCGGTGCCTTTTTGGCCGACCTCTGCTGCATGATCGCCGCCTCCTGCACTTGGAGATAAGCAGCTGTTGTCTGTTCCTCGGCCTCCTTTATCTCCGCTGTCAATCGTTGTTGCTCCGTCTGAAACCTCTCCAGTTCGTGGGCGTAGGACGTTCTCATCTTGAGTACCCAAGCTTCCCACGCTTGTCCTTTCTGTAAGCTCTCCTTCTGTAGACGCTGTAGGCGTTGTTCCAGTTTCCGCGCGAAGTTCACCGCCTGCTGGACGTCCTGGACTATGCCCGCGTTCTTGGCCGCGTCTTTGTTGCTCTTGGTGCTTACGGACATGATTTCCGCAGCTCTCCTCCAGTCTGTGTCGTACGCCGGGAAAGACTGCTGGGCAGTCTCCGAGGGCTGGTTGGTTCTCGGCGATGCTTTCCGAGCACCCTGCCAGTACGACCAGGAGGAGCTTTTTCCATATCCTCCCTGCTGTCGCCATGGTCTCGCTTCGTCTGCCTTTGGCTTACCACGTCCCATGTACAGATGATGCCGAGGCGCAATCACAGTGCCAGTTCTGAAAGATGGGAGGCCGGAGCCGTGGTGGAGCTTTAGTCTCCGAAGCTGCAAACTCGACAAGGAGCGTCCTTGCCGTAAAGAGCGGCGTGCCCTCGCTCTTGTTTGTCGCTGCTTTCGATGCCAATTCGGCGACCGCAGACCTATGGCGCGAGGATAAAAAGGGCGGCAGGTGGTCCTGCCTGGGGCACGCAGTGTTCTGGCGCTCTGCCAGCAATCTGAGCCCTCAGGTACGAAGTACATACATGCATGCATGCACACATACGTGTGCCATGTATACATGCAAGGCATTTACCAGCACACTGGCACCTGATGCAAAAAAAGTTGTTGTAAATTCGCTTACACCTTCCAAATTTACATGATTGTCAGCATACATCCAAGCCACCGTTGTCAGGGCAGTGATGGAGAAGTAGACGCTGTCTTCCGGGCCCCAACCCTCGCAGACACCTGCACTTGGCAAACAAAACACAAACAACACCAAATAAACATGTCTCTGCCTGTACGTGCACGCACGTACGTCCACTAGCATAAATGGGACGCGTGCACGTAGGTAGGTATGTGTAGAACTAGGAACGCATACAAGCGCACATAAATGAAGAGGCAGACAAACACAAAACAAAAAAAAAACATGCAAAGTTGTACATTTGCAATTACGACGCCTACATGTCTTAATGTAAGCAAGACAAGCGATAGCCACTGACAGATGGATTGATACACATTACATGTTGTACATGTGTATATACATATATATACATATATATACACACATATGTGTGTATACATACACACACACATCCGCAGTTACGTGCATATGCATCTGTATACTTTACATCCATGTATGCCATGCCTATATACATAGATACATGCTGCATACATACATACATACATACATACATAAATACATACATACAGTTTTTAGCTTCGCGCTTGAAGCTCAGGCAAGGGTTAGAGAGAACAACCAGCTACGGTATCAGCGGCATACATACATACACACGCATACGCATACACACACACACACACACACTCCGCATGCACGTGCACAGGCGCACCCATGCAATAAAACCTAAACATATTCATGTGCATATACATAAGCAGACGCATACACTATATAGATTTACAAGCACATTTACAAGTAAATATTTCAATATATATATATATATATTATATACACATACATTTACACTTATGCACACGTATACACACCCAGCAACACACACACACGCACACACACACACACACACATGTACGCATGTACATATAAAACGTAAACAAATGTTTACACAAACTACGCGGTTAGTTAATTAATTAATCTATTGACTAGATACTGTGATTTAAATGAACAGTCGAATAAATGTGTCTGTATGTATGCATACACAAAGAGACATGCGTTTACGCATGTATTTTCAATGTCAATGCCAAAGCACCAGTACACCATTGCGACGATTGCGGCGATGCGAGTACACGCTTTTTCGAACCGAAGCTTCCAACATGATCCCATCGAACGACATTCCTGAACCACGCCCATGCCGCTAAAGCCTAATCCTGAACCAGCCTACCCCCGAATCTCCGCACACACCATCGCCAAAAAAGGCACAAATCTGAAGCGCCCTAAAGTCGAAAGCGTGAACCCACCGTGCTCAAATCCTTGTCTGCAACTTGAGTCCCTGATCCTGCGACAAAACCTACATACCATACATCCTAGTCCTGGCCCACTACGCCCCATACAAACTTTCACTCATGCCCTTGACCCCCCGCTCTAATGACTCTAATCCTTGCTTCCATCCTAGGTCCTAGATGCCGCGCAGAAACTACAGCTCTGAACCCGAAACCCAAAGCTCAAACCCTGAGCCCCAGACTAGCTCTACGTCACACTAACCTTGACCCGGCTCCCTTCCCCAAGTTTGCCCTGCGCACCATAGACGCCCATGGAGGAGAGCACATAGGCCAGCACTATCCAAATGAGCCCAAAGGAGGGCTTGCCAGCCAGGAAGCATCCAGGTCGCGCACTCCTGAGACACAAACCCATATCTCCAACACTGCACTCAAAACGATTCGCTCAAGTTGGCACATGTCGCCACCAAGCTGCCAGATTGATGCTTTTCTTGGTACTGGTGGTCTGGATCGCTGATTGGTCGCTGCGGCGACGAGTCCAACAATTGAGCCTGTCCTTGGACTCAACGAAGAACAGAGCGCAGCAAACGAACCAGCAAGCGTTTCACCTAGGACCAGATAACTCTGAACCCAGTGCTGTTGGACATATCCGTGTTGCAGCAAGTAGGAGGATTCGGATTCCAGCTGCCTTGTGTAAAGCCTCGTCCTGACAGAGACAGATTTGCACTCTCTCTTTTCCATCTGAGTTGAAACACAGCCTTGCTCGAAGTCCCGAAGGGGCAATCCAGCGGGATGTGACTTACTTGCCAGGCAGAAAGCTGCTATGGTCCTGCAAAACTGGGCGTCCTGTACATGACAAGGCGGAAAGGCAATTTGAAAGCCCTGTAACCCTGGTGGTCAGCCCAACCGGCACCTGTGCATGCCACCCTGAAATACTGGTGCACTGCAGCTGGTGCTGATACACCCACAAGAGACCATCATGCCACGCTCCTTCCAAAGCTGAGCTGCGGCTCCACAGCCTTTCTCGGCGCTGAACCGCGGGTGGCAGCAGCAGGCGATGGTACATTCATCTGCAACACAGATTCTGCAAAGACACAATGCTGGAAGGAGTGTGACATGTTTGTTCAGTGCTTACCGTCCCGATGTGCCATGCGGCATTTCCCTGTTTTCTGTTGAATTGCCCAGGCGTTGTTTCAAGCATGAAACTAACAGCTAAGAACAACACATGAGCCAGCTTCTTGATTTGACACGGTCTTGCGAGCCACATTGCAGCAGCCGAATGCAAAGCGTGTCGCGGCAAGCAGCAGTGGCAGAAGGCATTGCGACAATAGCACCCGTGATATTGTCCATTGAGCCTATTGCGGCGAGTGTACTTCCTGCCTTGAAACCCCTTTCCGGCAAACTGTAGCTATCTGGGCCCGGAACCATCATCCTCTGGGCGGTTGCGAAGCCGTTTGCGCCTGCAGCTGCTACCTCTGTCACAAATATATATATATATATATATATATATCGGCTACTGTGACCACGTGGTCCTTTCGAGCACGTAAACCCCAATCAATCCAAACGTGACGTCGCAGGCATGGCCTATAGGATATCAGGTGTGCATCGGTTCCTGGTTTTGGGTAGCAAGGTCGCAGTGCTGCCTGCAATGATGAGCATCTGTTTCGCTTACCTTCTCGCTGATGCACTGGTTGGAGCGATGCTGAGGTTAGATGGGTCAGCATGCTGATGGTAACTTCGAGGCTCCTGTCGGGTTGAACAAAAACGGCTCTTGTCTGAAGCAGAACTCTGCTTGGCGACATGGGGTTGTAGCAAATTGGGTCCAGCTGCCCCTGCCCCTACCCTTGGTCCATCGCACAGAAGGAGAGGTTGAAAGCCGTTGTGCACAAGGCCAGCCGCGTGGGGGTTTCGCAGAAGTGGAAAGCAGGGTTACATCGACTCCGGGCACTGGAGTCGGAGCTTGGTGCGCACCCACCCTGTGCTTCGGCGGCTCTCCCTTTGATCCTCCTTCCTCTGGGCAGCCAGGCTCTGTCTCCCTGTCTCCGTCTCTCGGGCTGAGGTCCACCCAGCTAACAAAGCCGCTGAGGATTCTGCAACGACCTCTTTCTCGAAAAGAGGGTGTGCAAGTCCTCATGGGGCCAGATGTGACTTCGAGATCTCTTTGGTGGCCATGACACCACTTGCCTCACCAGCCTGCAGTTGATCTCGAATGAGCTTCGACAAGACCTGAGCAAAACCAGTCGCAGCTTCCTTCGACAGTGCCACAGCATGTGGGTGCCTGGTCCTTGCTTCCGATGAAGTTTGTGACAAGGCCGCCTTGGCCCATCCGACCTGTCAGACTGTCAGAGAAAGGGTCACTCCAACCTTCTCAAGGCGCGGTCGGCGCGGCTTTGCTGGGAACCACAAGGGCTCTTCCACGCATCACGCGAAGGCCTGTGCGGCCGACACGGTGAAGCCAGCAGACTGCACCTGCAACACACCGCGGTACGTCGCACTTACCGCTCAGAGGACCTGGGAGACCAAAGCCTTGCTCGGTCCTAAATTTGTCCAATCGCGTGAGGAGTTCCACCAACAACACGACGCAAAAGGAAGCGGGATAAAGAATGTTTCCACTACCCTTCGGCGCGTGCACAACACTTGCTCAAGGATGGGGTGCATGTCGCGAAGCCGCCGGCTTGAGCGGGCCAGGTGTGATGATACTGCAACCCGCTTCCTGTCTCGGGGGTCTCCGCTACGGACGTTCCTGATCCAGCAGCCATGCAGCTTATCAACTTGCTGGCTTCACCTGTCGGCATCTGGAAATTGATGACATGATCCACCTGAGCTTCAGCGACTTGTCAAACGCAACGAAGCAGAGTTCAAGCTGGCCTGGTGCCAGTCGATGCCTCGACCGCCAAACTCCGTGGCCACCATAATGCTTGCCTCCAGAACCATTCCCTTGAGCTCTGCAGTTTGCAACCCAACCACGCAGCACCAGTCCAGAAAGGAAGGGCAGGTCATAAAAACAACACAAGCCAATCAAAGCAGCCAAAACCAATCAACCTTTCGACAAGAAGGATCCAAGTGCGGCAACAGCAATGACAGCACTCAACCGGATGCTGAAACATCGCGATCCAAAGCATTCGAGTGTATGTAACATAAAAGCAGCTTCAAAGCCTGGAGAGTATTCAACGAAACCTCCTCTGAAGTTGTTTGATATCTGCACCCAGAGCGATGCACATGTGCAGAAGCCATGGCATGCGTTGCCTGCTCCTGAAAGCTTGACCAGGATGTTTTTGTACTACATGTGACGATGTAAGTTCCTGAACTATTGCACATTGAAGATGGTAGAAGATATTGCAAATGAGCATAGATCATAATGAGCACCTTGGAAATGATTGCTACTACTTTCAATGGTTGTTTGCAACATTTCGCATTGCAACAAGCTATCAGTAGTCGCACTTTGAGGCTTGTGTGTCGCAGCATACTGCATTTAATCTTGAAGCGGTGTAAACCAGTCTAGCTGCAGCCTTGCCGTTCCCTGGTCGGACAAGCCTCGGTGAAACAAAACGTGTTCGTTGTCCACCCTTGATGGGCTCCATTTTATCCAGCAGCAATAACGGCAGCAATGCCAAGAAGCAGCTAAGCCCAGGTGTTGATTGTGTTTCTCGGTTCCTTCCGGTCGTTTTGAGTCTGAGTATCTTCTTTCGTCGCTTCTTTTGCTCTGTTGCGTGCGCCATCTCTTGCGTCTCCTTGTTGCCCGTTTTCGGTTGATTTCGCTTTGTCTGCATGCCTTCCTTCACTGGCTGCTTCGTTTGTGCCGCTTCTTGCGTCCCTTCTCTTGCCCTTCTTCTTCACGTCGTTCGTGTCTGTCTTTCATCAGGACGTCCTCTCTGCTTTCCCGCTTTCGCCTTACTTCTTGCACTGTTTCAAGTTTCTTCGCTTCTTGACATGAGCCGCAGGCTTAGGCTTTGGGCTAAAGCCTGATTGCGATCACAGCTCGGCTGTTACGCTAAATGCGTGGCCTTTTGATGCTCATGCCTGGAGAGGGAAGGGGTGCTCATGCGCGACTGGCCTCGCCATCCACGAACTTCTGAGCGTCCCGGAAACGAGGCCTCCGCATGAGAAACTTGATCTGTTCACTACTCAACAGCTGGCCGGTCTAACTTGTGCCGATGTGGTGTCGCGTTGGCACATCGATTCCGCAGGGGAGCTGCAGGTTCAGAAGCACACCTGTCAGCCTTTTGGTCTAGGAACTGGTGCCGCGTTGAGCAGTACTGCCTGCTGTGGTGTTCACTGGCAGCAGTCTAGCCGGAGAAAAATTCATTGCACACGGGTCCCAAGCTCTTCGGGACCCTGCGCCCGAAATAAATGCCGCGCAGCACTCGGTGCCATAGCGGCTCGTCTTCCTCGATATACAACACGGACCTGCGCCTTGAATCTACATGCAAGCTTCAGGCAGAATGGTATCCTTGCAGGTCCGCGCTGATTCTGCTCAGGTAGCCAGAAGATGTCAAGAAACCCCTGGCTTCAACATATTGTATACATCTCTGTATATGTGTGTATGTATGTGTATATATAGAGAGAGTGAGAGAGCGTGTGTGTGTGTGTGTCTGTATAAGAGAGAGAGAGAGAGAGAAAGAAAGAAAGAAAGAAAGAAAGAAAGAAAGAGAGAGCGAGAGAGAGAGAGGGACAGAGCAGAGAGAGAGAGGGAGAGAGAGAGAGAGAGAGAGATTGTTTGCAGGAGCTCTTGAGCATGCTGGCAAGCTTGCATTCGCAAGGCTGAGCCGTGAACCATGCACTACACTAAAAACGTTGGCTCAAGAGGTTCTACTCCAGAAGCCAGAAAACAACGACTTGAAGATCCTAGGCTGTCGAAGTCTCTGAGAAAAGTCCGGCGCACTGGTCGACTTCAATTAACGGGCCCACCGTGAATTGTCAATCTCCATAACCTCGCCAGCCGATACATTATCACACGCACGACCTGAGGCACGGCTCACTCCAAGAAGTTATCCAGCAAGTTGTCTGGCTCCGGCTCCTGCAAAGGCTACACTGACAAACATCTGTAGCCTTGTTTGGCATCCGGGTTTCTCCAACATCTGCGAGTGGAACTCGACTACGAGGTCAAATTGCATGTTCCCGGACGGCCTGGTCTTGCTTGGGCACAGGCTTGGGTATGATCTCTGGGTAGTTGGCGAAACGAAACTGGTCCATCTCGTAGATCACATTGTCCCTGTCTCCTGCCTGTTATATAGACACGGAACGAAGAAGTGTGGTTTCTTGTCATCTCCGGTTTCTGGTGGTATTCAACGCGGCGCCTGCTTGTGAAGTAAATCATGGCGATAGTCGGCATTTTTGGCATCGAAGATCTCCGATGACAACCGGTGACCTCAAGTGGACTCTGTCAGCCGCCTCGAGAAAGTGTAGTTCTGTGTACCCTTTTTGCAGCCTAGCTGCCCATCATATTCAGTCGACCCTGCAGGGACTGTGGGATTGAGTCGTCTTGCCGCTTCAAGGGTCATGAATGTCATACTCTACCCCTGCTACCTAAGCTGCTAAATAGCAAGGCCTGGATCTCATCAGCTCTGTAGCTCATTCGCCGCAGCCGCTCGACAAAGCATCCGGCACGCCAATTCTCATGGAGTGCGATACTAATGAGTCGAACCATGTCCTGCCACGCGAGACTCAGAGATACTCAGATCTTATGATCTTATGGATGTCGTGACGGCTTTTGGCCTTTGAAGGCGGCAAACAAAGGAACACAAGTCCTGGCCCGTCGCAGGCCCCTTCAGCTGCCTTAGACGCACAAGGCTCGTACAAACCCGGGCCTGCTGTATGTCATTCGAACCGAGAGGCTGGATCCCATCGACCAACTCTTCAGCACTAACCTGTCGCCAGCATCTTGCGAGGCAAGCGTCTCACTCTGATGCAGTTAAGTACATGCTGTAATGGATGTCTGGCCAAGTGCAACCAGAGGTTAAGAAACTTCAACTCATCAGGAGTGAAGGCTGCACCAAACAACGCCTGACATCCAAATTTCAAGCCGGCGCCGCAACCCGGTGCACTTCAAGTTATGTCCCGACTTTCTTGCTTACGACCAAAACACACACACAGAGACACAAGACAAACAAAACTCAGTCGAAGTGCTCTCAACATCAAAACGCCTGGTCTCTCGACACGTCTTGTCGCTGCAGGCCGCTTCTTTGTGTCTGAACTCGAAAATGTGTTTTTGCCCTGGGGCTGTTATGTTAGATGCCTTTCCACCGGGCCCTCGCCAGCGGCGAGTTACCACCACTCAGCTAGGAGGAAAGGAGACCGGGTGACTGCTCCGAAAAATGTGTTCACCCGGCACAAATGTGGCAGTGTTTGCATTCTGCGGACCTTCAAAGCTGTGTCTCTTTGGGGCAGCCGGGTCACGTGTATTTGCATACTGCCCAAATTACTGCATGCATGACCTGAATGTATGTATGGCATGCATGTGGGTGTATAGGAGTACGTACGCCGGCAGGCACGCATGCACGCAGGAATGTGTATGTGTACGTACGTACGTAGGCATGTATTTATGCATGTATGTATGTATGTATCTATGCCCGTACCAGCAGGTTCACATGGCTGCAGAAGCCTCACATGTTTAAACTTAAACTGTTACAGACTTGCCTACGACGTAATCAAAGGGGGCTGTCATGTCCGGCTTCTCGCACCAATGACTGCTCTTCGGATTCGAATTACAGACATTACAGCAAGCCCATTCCACCCACATTGTAGCTGTGTCCAGGCAGCACGGCAGTGACGGCAGACCTACTTCTGAAATTAGTTGAGCATGCGCCTCACCGCTCTGATCAGCGTCAAGCACAGTGAACAGCTCTTCAGCTTCGTCCGCACGAAGGCCAAGCATCGACAGCTTGGCTTGCACATCCGTCTGCCTGTGAATCGCAAGTGGGTTGCAAACCCTCGTAGGCTGCACAGTTTCCTGCAACGGGAACCGTCTTCCGCGCCTGATCATTTTCTTAAACTCTCTCAGGCTGAGATATCCAGTGTTGTCCTGGCATTCCGTCCACAGGTTTCTGTAGCAAGACTGCTCGGGCGCATCGAACAAGTTTTTCCCCCTGCAACGACTTTCCGAGCCTAAATGCCCTGTCCTGGTCGTGCCGGTTGAATTCGATCAACAGGCAGTGCAAGATGTATCTTTCTGAGTTGATCAACATTCGCGCAGAGGTCTCCTGCCCACATTCCGACAGATAAGCATCTTCGGCACAATTGCAGACAAAGGCTCCAGAAAGTCCTTGCTATCCGATGCTAAAGATGTGATCTGCTTCACCATGACCGCCACCAGAAGGTTAAAGATAGCAAAGGTGAGCAGAACAACCCCGAGAATCAGAAGGACCACAGCAGGCGGAGACAACTCCAACCTGAGAGGCAAACGTGAATCCTTGAGGTCTACTGCATACGACCATGTACAGCCACTTCAAGCACTATCAGCCAGGACACAGTGGACGAGCCACCAAGCCGGCCCACCTGTCCAGCGTTGCAACCTGTAGCATTGTCATCATTGATTGGCCTATAGTCCCGAAGTAGAACTTCGCAGCAGGCCAGAAGTTCAGAACAATGGGATCCGTAGCCACCACCGAAGTCATAGACACCGCGAAGATGTACAACGCAACCGCAGCGATGCTTGCCACAAATGTGACAGCCTTGAACGAGTCCAGCAAGCCCTGGATCATGAACCAAAGACCTCCCAGGCCCGCGACGCCTTTCACACTCCGCGCGACCCGTAAGCCGCGAAAGACGCGGAATGCTTTTGCCAGCTGGACACCCGCTACGGGGCGAAAGAGCGTCATCATCAAGTCACCAAAACCCATCAGCACGAGACTAAAATCAAAGACGTTCCAGCCATCATGAAAGAATTCAAATCTCTGTTGGTGAAGTCGCACAAGCCATTCCATGATGAAGACGCTCGCAAAGAAGATTTCAATCAGCACGAAGCCAACATTCATCTCGACTGCGACGGCCCACTGGTCATCCACCTCTATTCCCAAGATGACCGTGTTCGTTATCAGCAAAACAACCTCAGAAAAACAGAGGAGAAGCAGTTCGAATAAGAGGCAGGTCCGAATGGGATCACGTGTAAGGGCGCATGACCCATCTTGAGCAGAGGCACAATGGCTGAGTTGAGCTTTGTGCTCGATGCAAGGTGCTCCCTTCGTCTTTGGAGTTCTTCGGCAAAAACACCGTTCATCTGCTCGAGGACGGACTTCCATCTGCCAAAGCCACTCACATCGCATGTTGCTTGCATCAGTCCGACCGCAACTTAGTCTCTGTCTCTCTCTCTCTCTCTCTCTCACTCTCTCACAGAGGAACCAGAGACGGGGCGAAACACCACTTAAACAGACTAAAGTACAGAGTGACTTCAAGTCATAAGCATATCACAATGGGTCACGTCCCTGCCCAATTATGGTTTGGTCACATGGCATTGCATGACTGCTCATGAGCCCAAGCCCCAAGACCCCTAACCCTCAAGCCCTTAATCCGAAACCTCCAGGAGAACTTACAGGAGCCCTTCAACCACCTTGATTCTAATCGTAAAAAAAGAGACTACTAGTGGACCACTACATTGAACCCTCACGGGAAGCCCTTTCTAGGAACACTACTTGGAGGTTCATGGGT